GCGATTCCGTGCGGGATTGAAAAATAGATAGTAATCGATTATAGGACCTACTGAATATGCATATAAATTTCATAAAAATCGGTCAAGTCGTTTCGGAGGAGTAAGTAACATTGTAACATGATTATTTTATATATAAAAAAGGTCGATTACATTAATTTTGGCGGTTTATTAGTTTGATAAGTTATAAGTGATTTTGACCTCGTAAATTTAAGGTCAATACGACCTTATACAGAATAATATATTATTTGTTAGCGAATCAAATAGGACCTCTACTAAACTACTAATATAATATTCCAACCTTACTAACTTCCTAGTTAAAAAAATGTCAACTCGCAATAACCAACTAATCGTGATTTTCCACTGGATAAAAACCTGTATTTAAACATTAAGTCATAGTATTTGAATTGACAAACATATGTTTCCGATCAGATTTTTATAGTAAAGAAGTGTTAAAAGCTATTTTTAATCAAATCTCGTGAATATGAACTATGGTCGAACTTCAAATATTTCTAAATACGAACGAATAATTATTATTGCATCATAATAAACGTATCAGCAACTGATTAGAAAATCGCGAACAAAACTGCGATGAATCTTATTTTAAATGAATTCAATGTCCAAGAAAGTAAACTATTACTAAACTAGTGTTTACCGGCGACTACGTCTGCGTAGAATTAAAAAAGGGTGAAATGTTTATCATGTGTTATTCAAGACTATGTTCTTATATCTGTGACAAATTTTCAATGAGATGTATTGGACCTTTGCGGAATTATCCAGTAAGTATATGAATCAAACGTATAATAGATTTCCGAGATCATAGGAAGTCTGTGTTTATCTAACGAACATCCATACATTCAAACATTCGTATTTATGATTTTGGTAAGAACTAAGTTGGATACTCATTCCTTGTCTCCGTTTTTTTTTTCAAAAACTTAAGAGGGTTGACGATGTAAACAAGTGACACGGTAATAAAACCGACAGTTATAGACCGACAAACTTACCTGACCCGGTGAGCATAAATAACGCTGCATTACAATGCCTCAGCCCCCGCTGATAATTAAAAAAAATGTAACAAGATCCTTATGGGACTTTAGCTGTCATAACATGCCTAGTCTTACGTTTAATGAGACGACGATAATACATCTAATCAGGGTAATACATTTTCGAAGAGAATTTAATAAAATAACAGCGCCTCTCGCCAGAGTAATTTGTCGCAGTATACTGCGACTTAATTCGCAAATGATCAGGTCATCATGATGTCACTTTAAGCGCACAGATTAAAAAAATAGCTTCTTTTTACCTCAAATTGTTTAATTCTTTAATTGTTTAAATAATGTATGTGAATTGTGAGAAAAATTGTTTGGCGATGGTTTTTCTTTAACCAGACTAATTGTTTTTTAATAAAATAATAATATAAGTAATTTGTTATTTAAATTAAATATAAGTCTTCACCCAAAATTTGATTGTTTAAGATACCAATATTTTTATCCTCTTCTGTATATTATTACAAATTAAATCAAATTTAATGCATTTAGTCGGCCATTTAAAATAAAATTAATATGCTCGAAGTGGGCAACTAAATTTTTACTAGAAAATACAAGTTCACAGACACGGAAATGTACTATATTTTTACGCATTAGTTATAATAACTAACTTTTTCCCGCGATTACGTCCACGCGGAATTTAAAAAAAAAAACCTTCTAAGAACTGTATGTGTTCTTCCAGACAGTGTTCTACATCTATACTAAAGATCTTGTCCATGCAACCGTTTTGGTGGTACCTTTTAATAAAATATACCAATTGGAACTTTCTTATTTTAATTAAACTTGATCGGGCGTTTCCCGTTGGACCGATATACTTACGGTCCAATGGATTTTTTTCCCAAAATCCATTAAATCAATGAGATTTTCTACATTCTATGGACTACCCTAAGTTAAGGGTGATTAGGCCATAGACAACCACTGGCCAAGTGCGGGTTGGTTAACTTCACACATATCTTTGAATTTCTTCTCAGATATGTGCAGGTTGCATCACGATGTTTTCCTTCACCGCAAGAACGTCGGATTAATGTACATATGTAAATCGGAAATCGAAAAACACATTGGTACATAGCGGGATTCGAACCCAGGACCTGCGGATTGCAAGTCAAGTGCTTGACATCTGAGCCACCGACGCTCTCTATTTTAATTACTTTAAGATTTTAATTACTATTGTAGAATTACTGAGAAAGCAGAAATAATATATGTTTACTATTTTTTTGATTGTTTACACAATATTGTATAACATACGTTGTCTTACTATGAAGGTCATATAAATGCTAATTAAAGCATAACCTTACAATCGGACACGTGCTGTACGCAGTTGCTTAACTTTTTTAAACTGGTATACTTAAAATTATGCAATTTACTTTTTATTGTGTCCTTGTGTTTAAGTTAAAATATTTTTTAATGCGTTAAAAGTATCTTAGTCATCGATTGTGTCTTTAAAGTAGGATTTTATTCTCGCAGAATCACACTTTTTTATTAGTAAGATGCTCGATATTTGCGATAGAAGTAAACCGACATATTTATATTACTAGACAGGCATAAGCTAAAAAATAACAATTATATATTCGTTAGAAACGGGATCGATGACCTGGTCAAGGTTGCGAGAGTACACTGGATGGGGGCGGCACAGGATCGAGCATTGTGGCAATCGATGGGGAGGCGTACATCCAGCAGTGGATGAATTTAGGCTGATTATGATGATGAAGAAACGGGATTCTTACCACGATTAAGATGTTTGAGCTCAATATTTCTTATACAGCTTAATCGTGGTAAGAACACTTTCTTATGTACGTTATAGTAAAATCAACGAAGGTTTAAAGTTATATAAACGACAATAGCTCATTAAAGTCCTTGTCGGTTTAAAAAATGGAACAGAATCCTTGTCGGACTATAGTCGTTTTGTCATGTCTTGTCTTGTGAAGAAGTTACCATAGAGATGTAGAAGTAAAGTCTTTGACATCTCTTGTTTTGTATGTCATTTTCTATGCCTAAATATATTATTTTATATTTTTGAGAGAATTAATAGCGCAACGACAACACCAGGCCAAATAATTTTGTCGCACAATATGGAAAGGTCTGTTACGATCTTCACACAGAAAGCTATCCAAATGTTACATATTATTGTTTTATCCTTTCGTTTAGTGTTACCAGTTTACGTTTAGTGTACACATTGAGAAATACAAAATAAATTCTAGCATCATACCTTCACACGTTCCTGAGAAAAAGGCGGACAACAAAGTATCAGGGTTCCGTTTTTCCTACGTAACCCTAAAAATCGTTGACACTAGCAAATTTTAACGTAAACAACGATATTATTGTGAATTTATTAAAAAAAAAACAATTTTTTATATCACATTAACCTCGACCTAGTTATAATTTTCTTACAATATTTATTCAATTAAAGCTGTACATAAATTATTCTTATTTGTTTCTTAATTAATTTACAAATGAATGCAGGACATTCACCCGATGTTTTTTTACTAATTTACTTAGTAACTTAACTTCTCTGAGTATTAGTAATATAATTTATAGTTTACGATATTTTACTGGGTTAGCCAAATAGAAGCAATTTTAAATTGCTAGCATTATAACAATTTAATTTAATAGGCTCCGAATATTATTTTCTCCTATTCGGTGTTGAGACCCTTGGTCCGTGCGGTCCTAGCGCTATAAGGCTTTTTAAGAAAATATCAAAAAAGTTAATCGCATCACAGGAGACCGAAGAGGCAGCAACCTCGGACAAAGAATTAGTATAGCTATTCAAAGGGGGAACGCTGCCAGTATCTTCGGAACCTTGCCTAAAGGGGCTTCTTTTAATAATATATTTAGTTAATTATTCGTATTTATTATAATATTTTATTTTATATCATAGTTTTATGTGTAACAATAATTACAGTAACTATAATTTAACAGGTCACATTAGATTTGAATTCCTACAACGTAATCTTGTAACTTCGTGCATAAAATATTATTTACTACCTGTGCCTGCGACTTCGTTCGCGGGGTTATCGGAAACACTATCGTGTGTATTTTCACCGTTTTTGCATAATTTCTCATTGACGCTTCGTTCCTTTTGGTCACAGCGTAATGTTAAGCCTTTTTTATTTAGAGGGGAATGAAACCTCTCTGTTCCTCCTACGCATCATGGTGAGGCCACGGGCACGCTTGCGCATTCGTCCGAGACCTCGCCAGCAGCGTAATGTTAAGCCTAAAGCCTTCCTCTATAAATGGACTATCCAACAAAAAAGGAATTATTGAAATCGGACTAGTTGTTCCTGAGATTAGCGCGTTTAAACAAACAAATTTAGTGTAGATTTTCAAAATTTAAAATACAATATAATTATATTGTAACTTGTTACCATTCGAAATAAACTTAATGCTTATACTACTAATGTTTCATTACAATGGTCGGATTCGAACCTACAACCGGAACATCTGTAACTACAACCAACCACTTAACCACTAAGCTGTTTGCGATTCGTAAATGTAGCAGGTAGTCTTTTAGTATTCGTTATTTTATATTCATACTAAGAATTGGCCGCGACTTCGCGGAATTAAAAAACAAGTAAAAATATAGTATGTCACCCGAGGATAGTTTCCCAAATGAAAATGAAAGAATTTTTCTTTATTAATTCAGTTTAAATGCAAACAATCAATCAAATCTAACCTCTTTATGTTATTAATATCGATTACGTAAAGGGCCTATTCAGTACGCGCCCTTCGTAACAGATTTTTATTTTTCAAATTAGTATAAACAATAAAAACTTAGTAATTAAATTGAATTTTATGCCGAATAATTTACTATCTTGAATAATTGTTTATTTTAGTGTCCTAAGAATTGGAGAAAATAGATTAAGATTTCTGGGCCTAATTAAGTATTAGTATAAATTTTATAATCACAAAAATAAAATATTTTAAAACAATAAAGGAAAAAATAATAAAAAAATTACATACCAATAAAAACTGTAAAAAGAATCACTGTATTTTATATTTTCTTTTATAAATTCTTATATTAAACTTGCAATCGATGTTGCGATCTACAGATGTGAAGGATAAGGTAATGAAGGTAAAGGCACGTCCGATGATTGCAAAATCCGAGTCTGTACTGCCCTGTGAAGCCGCTTCCTCGCCTATATCAGCTTAAAGCATTCGTATGTCACAGATTCGATGCTCAGATAATTAAAAAAAACACACCGCAAACGTTAGCGTGACGCACTAAGTAGGTAGGCTTTGATTCACAAATGCGGATATAGTTGACAGTAATTTTTGATAAAATTTGTTATGACTTTATGCCTATAAATTACTATTTACGACATATGACACATAAATCATATTCGAATTTACTTATTGATTTCTTAAGAAAAAAAACCATTGATGTTAATTTTATTTTTGTAATATCGCAATAAATTTTAGTACAATTTATGTTGTTGTCCTTAAATTACTTTGTCCCATATTAGTGTTTATTAAAAAATAGATTAAATAATAATTTGACACCATATTTAGATAAATTAGTCATCTTCTCGTCTGACGTTTTTATGTCGATGTTACTAGGAATCCAACACTCGGTCTTATGTTATTTTTTATTGTTAACTAATTATTTCTACATTATCTATGTTTACGTACATGCATGTACAGTCGAGGATTATTATTTCCTACCCATTTTCGTGAAATTTAGCATTATAATGTACATACACACGTACTAAATTATAGCTGTTTGCTGTACAGTACTGGATTCTAAGTGGAAAGTGGATTAAATTATTTGATATATGCTCGTTGTTTAGAGAATTTTTCGTATTATTGAATGTTACCAATTCGTTTGCTATTAATTTGACCGTGTTCTGTCATTCTTGTTCACTGTATACTGTTTCGTAACATTATATGCCATTGAATCGAAATAACAGGAAAATTTCACACAAAATACATGCATGTATAATTATACTACAATCAAATCTTTGTTTTTTCTTTAACATAAAATTCAATCTTTAATTTTGAAGTAAGAATAGTTGATGTTTCTTAAAATAGTAATAAAATTTAAATTTTTAGGTTATGTTTTTTCTCCAACATACGTTCGAAGAAAAGAGCATCTTTGTAAACGTCAGGGTCGTGTCAAACGAACAATATTGTAAACAAAAATTAAAATTATATATTGTTGTTAACAATATTATATAACATTGTGTCTATTTAATGGAAAAAGTAACCTTGAAAGTGTGTACTTACGTCAAAAAACTATTTACCTACATGAACAATGAAAATCATTGAACTTTTTTAAAACGTTTATACCAATAAGTACGAAAATTGGTTAAAAAAACAATAAAGGTAGTAATAACCTAATGTTGATGTTTAAAAAAACACTGCGGCTCTAATCGACTTAATGTTTTTAAAGAATCAAAGTAAATAAAATGACATTTTATTTACAATGCTTTATTTTAGAATATTCTCGAAAAAATTGATGTAGCGAGGTTAGAAGATGTTATTTATATGAAAACAAATTCACATACATGTCAAAAAACTTACGTTACATTATTAAATTACCCTCTTTGTCAGTCGCGTAAAAATACATTGAAACTTTACTATACTTAATAGTTATAACTTAATTAATTAATTCTAATCTTACCTTTTGCTAACGTCGTTAATGGAAATTAAGAGAGAATAAGGTATGAAACATCTTTACCTTTGTTCCAATTTCCATTTAGAAGCGGATTACTGAGTGAGTCAAAGTGAAGGTTACTAAAGGTATGCATACATCAAAGTAATTATTACGTTTATTTACCGCGCACATGTGTCAATGACTTAACACTAGGTGCTAATGGGACTGGTAGAGGTCGCGTTAAATCATTACAACGTGACCTTATATTTAATGAGATAAATATAATATTTATGCAACGCTAATAGAGTAATAGTTTTGTGTTCGTATGTTGAGTTTGCATGTAAATTAAACCTGCAACTTAAACGGCTAGTCAATTGTTAATTACTAGCTGTCGCCTGCGACTCCATTCACCCGTAATTCAAAAAACTTAGTATCCAATGTGTTCTTCAAGATTATGTTCTATATCTATGTTAAATGTCAGCGATAACTATGCAACCAGACTTGAGATAACTTCAAACATCCATCCATCCATACCAACATTCGCGTTTATAATATAAGTAAGATAACGAATGAAAATATAGGTTATGATTATAATCAATCTTTGACATATCTACGATGTGTATAAGTTTAGGAAATTTAGGATTGTCCGTAACACGAACAATAATAATACTTCAAAGTCGTTAAGTGTTACGGAGTGGAGTTACTTAGTTTTCGTTTCCTAAGAAAAATTTACACAGAGTGTTTATGTGAGTTGAACTCAGAGTGACAAGAAAAGGAACAGTTGGCTAACCTGGAACTAAATAATCTATGATACAAAAGAAACATTTTCATATAATAAACGAAAAGCCTTTGATTTCAGTATGTATAATACTTATTAGAATTTCATACTCGTTGTCACCCGCGATTACTTCCGCGAGGACTTAAAACATTGTTATTTAGTAGGTTATGTGTTCTTCCAGACTATGTTTTACATCTGTGTAAAATTTCATCAATTTCCGAAGATACTTTCAAACAAAGTAGAGAGAGTTTTAACAGTGGTAGAGAACGCTTTAACATCTTCGCACGAATTGGCCCGACTCGCCCGGTGAAATACCACGACCACAGGGAAGACAGGCGTGAAGAGGAAGCAATTCCGCGTTTCGTCTGATGAGCGTGCGTCCCGGAGGCCTAATTTAGTCTTCTTTCCCTTTCCACCCTTTTTCTTATTAGGAAGGGTTGGGAAGTGGAAGTGGACTTTCCGGGTGAGTGGATGCATGGAAAGAGAAAATATTTTCTTTCTGTGCATCCTCTCCTCCGTCGATTAAAGGTAGGCAACGCATATACAATTGCGTATGTCTATGGGCAACGGTCACTTCGCTATTTCAGCGATTTCAGGTGGCCGCTCGCTCGTTTGCCACCTTATGATATTAAAAAAAACATCCATTTATCCATCCATTTAATTGTTACATAGTTCACTTTAGTTCCAGGTAAACCGGTTCTCTGAAAACATAAAATCAACGTCATCCCTACCACAGAATGTGATTAAATAACAGGTAAACATCTTCAAAAATGATCTATCGTGGTAAAAAATATGACGATTTAGGTGAGTCTTATACACGTGCTGCAGACTTTGTTATGGTCACGTTTATTTCTGCGTATAGGTCACAAATATCAGTAGTTTATTGCTTAACAGGATGTATATAGTTGATGATAAGTAAGCTGTGCCCGCGACTTCGTCCGTCTGAAATCTTCTGGTTGCATCTTTAATTATTTTAGCTATTTATTGCATTTGCATTGCTTACATCTTACAAAACATTCTTATAAACCTTACATATTCTCATACAAACTGTTATTACAACTTCCCTATTGTTTTTTTCACCATTGAAGGTAATTTTTTTGTAAATTTAATGTCATATTTATTTATATCAAATTGATGGCTTCCAAAGTTTTAATCTTCTAGCTGTAAGAATTACGATACTTCTATACAACTTTTTATCCCTCCTTTCAGCTTCTTACAACACTTTTGTCGTATTAAAAAGTAGCCTTACCTTTCTTAGGTACTCGACTATATGTATGTGTACCAAATTTCATTTAAATCGGTTCTGTATGTTTTGTGTGAAAGCGCGACAGATATACAGAGTGACTTTTTGCATTATTGATATTAGTAAGGATAAGGAAATATTTGCATTAAAAATATAAGTTATAGCTATTATAAATTTGGTAATAGACACCGCTCCCGCCTCGTGACGTCAGTTATCTGCGCGTGCGTACTAAATAAGGTAAACCGTTGTCTATACATTCTTTAACCTGTTTTTTTGTTTTGACCATTATAACTTAACTGTAAAACAATTGAATTTGAAAATATAAACAATTATAAACACTTGAAAATACTAACAATGTTCGGGATAATTAAATGCCTGCGAAAGTGACTGGCAAACGATAAAGGTCATTAACCGAAAATCATGGGCAAAAATCTGTTACCTTCAAGATACAAAATATTTTTTCCAGTACAATGCATCCACCTCGAATTTCCAGTGTCGAAAAAACATCTCATCTCTAGTAAACTCTGTAAAAAAAACAATATAACGTGTATTTATGATGTATCGTAAACAATATGTGGACAAAGATCTTAAAATTAGTATTAGAATCAAGTACAGCTTCATCTATTTACGAATTGTTAGAAAGGGGAGCTGTGAGGATTTTTAAGTTAAACTTTTCAGTCGCCCGCTACACCGTCCGCGCGTAATTAAAAACCTTAATAAGTAAGATGTTTTCATCAAGACTATGTTCTACATCTGTGCCTAATTTCATCAATATCGGTTGAACCATTCCGGAGATACATTGTAACAAACATCCATCCAAACATTTGCATTTATAACAATAATAAGATTATTTACTTATAACAAATTTGAAGCGCAAAAATAGGGGTTGATAAAGTACAACGCGTGTTTCACTTTCTCGCATATTTAATTAGAACATTCAGATATACAAAGGAATATAAATGCACAATATTTAAGATATATTTAACACGATTTACGAATATATATAAATGAACATATAACATATAGTAATAATTGTATCTTCTAACTATTAATCTAATATGATTTGCATACATTGTTAGTACATAAATACATAATGATTTTCCTTTACATAAGTTCGATATACATAAATGAAACACAATGTTTTAATTTGATGTTAATTAAAAACAGTTGAATAAATCTTTGCGTGACATCCAACATTTTGTTTTTAAACATTGTGTTGTTTATGGTTATAAAATCGAAGCTTTCTTTGATATTTACAATTTCCCAAATGTATGGTTTTAAATATATTTACAATCTTAGTGAAATTACTTGTTAAATCCAACTATTAAATGCCAGTTTATCGGTAATTACTTTTAGGGATGTTTAACTAAGGATTGAATAGCGCAATTATATCGGCGGTATAAACGACTGATTGAAACGTTATATTTTTAAGTTTATATTATGTTATGCATGAATCTATAGTCACCGCGTAAAAGCCGTGTTACC